ACATGCTTCACTCGATTTTGACACTCAACTACTTTTTTGTTTAACTAAGAATTAATACTTTCATTGCGTCTGATACTAACGTCCTAAATTAGCAATACTAGTGGAACAGTAATCATGCAATAGATTTTTTTGGGAAAGTACAGTTATTTTTATCTTTTAGCAGCAATGTGTTCTATTTTCTATTAATTTTTACATATTTTTAGTCACAATTTTGGTAGTTATTTTTTACTTTTATTTTTAGCAATAATAAATAGTCCAAACATGAAAAAATAAAAAAAAAATTTAAATTGGAAAATCTAAAATTTAGAAATCGAAAAATTGAACAATCGTATAATTGAAAAATGGAAACATCGAAAAACTAGAAAATCGAAAAATTAAAAAAAAAATGGAAAATCAGAAATTTAATGAATTCCGAAAATTGAAAAACTGAAGTATGCATAGAAGAACTGAAAACTCGAGAAATCGAAAAATCTAGAATTTTAAAAATTGAAAAATTAAAATACCGAAAAGTTGAAAAATTGCGAAATCGTATCAGTGAAACATCGGACAATTGAGAAATCGAAAAATAAAAAAATGAAGAAATCGAAAATTAGAAGAATGGAAAAATTGAAAATGTCAAAAATTAAAATACTGAAAAATTGAAACATCAAAAGTTGAAAAATCGAAAAACCGAAAAGCCGAAAAATCTCAATAATGTATTTATAAACCACAAGTTCAGGATTATGCTACTAAAAAATTGATAACGTCATCTCAAAATTTTGCTGAATAAATTCTACTAAAAATGTGCAAAATATGATGAGTTTTACTTGCATTCATATTTTTTTAGATTTGCTTATATGTATGTCTAGGTGGCTCAAAAGAATTAATGAATGAGTCAATTTATTCTATTGATAAAATCAGTCTCGACTCACTCCATTTTCCCAGAAATTTTTGGAATACTGTTATTTTTAGTCTAATCCACATTGATTTACGTGTCCTTGAAAAATGTTGATGATTCATCTCAAAATTGTGTACCTAAAGTAAAAATTTAACTCGAAAATGCTGGATATATTTCAGTGTATTTTAGGTGCGAGGGAAGTTCTGTCGAAACAACTTTCCATCAATTTTTTTTGCTGTTATATTTGAACATAAACAGTTTATTTTATATATTTTTAAAACATTAAAAAAAATAAAAAGTTGTGTTAGACTGAACCTTGTGGGTTTCTCAATCTATTTTCCGCAGCATTTTAAACTTTCAACTCAATTTCTTTCAAAATACATACAAATGGATTTCGATGATTATTTCCCTGTACCCTTCATTTGAAAATAAATAAGCTTATCTGGTGTTGTTTACCGATTTGCATTTTACGAGTTAACCTAACGTCAGTAGGATTTCTATACGTTCTTTTTCAGTTAAACGAGCCATTGTTATGTGATTTTGACAAACGTATAGACAAACAAAAAACATATTTGTTTATAAGTTACGAACTGCCGGATTGCGTTGAACCAAAAAGTATAATATTATATTGTTAAGGTGCCATGTTCTGGGTGTCGGAGAAAAATTCTGCGAGTAGATTTTGTGACTTCACATTAGTAGAACTCATCAGCTTACCTATTTTTGTGAAGGCTTGTCCTAACATGCTGCGTTATCGAAAACTTTTCACAGGTGGTCTGAACAATAAAATTACTTCATTTTGTGCATGATTTACTCCTCGCGTTTGATTGAAAACAATAAGATATCAATAAATTAAAGCAATTGTTTGAAGTTGGAACTAATAAAGATAAATGTGATGTGATGTGACAAAAATTTGGATACCTTAGTTTAGAGCACACTTTGCAAAAAAAAGATTGAGAATTTTCATCTAACACTAGTTTGGGATACTTTTTATCCAGCCGTGGACACTTGCAGAAACTTTTGGCATTTTGGACTCGAAGTCCACTTGTCCGTAACAAAATAGTAGCTGCAAAGGGGTAACACTGATTTTGGTAATGACACCGTCTAAGAATATAGTGAGCAGGCAAGCTAGTTGTTGCTACTATAAGACAATACTAAAAGTAGTCACTAGAATGAGGAGGGGGTGGGAGGGCGGGCCTATTGCTTGTATATAAATGACTCTCTAGAATAAAGTTTAACTTAGCCCCTCCTACCCACCCATTCTCTCATTTCTTTTCTTCTGAAATAAGAAATAAATCTAAACAACAAAAAAAGTTACAATTGGCGCTTTTTTATAGCTAAGTTTCGGTCAGTTACTTACCACTCTGCAGAACGTATAGTTTTATATAAAAAAGTACTACCCCAATTGAAGAGAAGAAGAAGAGGAAACTTAAAATATGTCTAAAATAGTCAATTTTGTAGGAAAATATGGATTTTGCAATTAAACTCCGCCCCTCTATCTGACCATGACAAAAAATTCATTACAAGTGAGATAGGGGTGGGTGGGTGGGGCTTAATTATTGGCTTCTTTTTCTTAATGTATACCTATTTTCAACAACACGAAATACCATTTGATATTTTAATGCCCGTTTGCACTAACGTTTAAGTCAGATACTTAAAATTTAAGAATTTCTTAAAACCAACAATGTGTTGCACCAACGTTTAAGTCTTTCTTAAAGGGTTCTATGAAATCTTTAATTTAAGCGCCCGATTACCTGAGGCTTAAATTTGTAAGCAATGCTTAACGAGACACAACGATACAACGCATGTGCGGTACCCATGGTAACAGAACAACACTTTATTTCTATTGGATAATAATTTTGGTGATTACATGAAATCGAAAATTTCCAATTTTAAAAATTATCAGTGCTCAAAAGTGTATCTGAAGTGTAAAATAAAGTCTTAGCAATTTAAAAATAAATATAAAGGAGGTATGTACCACAGTTACAATGTTTTGTTGTAAAGAATAACATGTTTTTTTCGTGTTCGTAAAAAGTGGAACATTTTTTATTAATTTTTGTTTATAAACGATACGTTTATTTCATGGCACTAGAAGCGTGTCATAGTGTTTCATTTTTTCACGCATTTAAATGAAAAAGTGTCGTAGCGTGTCATTTTTTAAAGGAAGACATTCGTGCGGCAAATTTTCCATCTCGTGAAAAAAATATACACTTTACGCACTAGTTGCATAAATAACTATTTTTCATATGAACAATAAAAAGCGCCAGAGGGGAGCGAGAAACTACAGTTATTTGAGGTACAACTGAACAAGAATAGGAAGAGAAAATATGGAATTATAGGTGCGAAAGCGAATTTTAGAGTTAGACATTGAAATAAAAAAGAAGCAGCAAAATAAATTTAAACGTAATAACATGGAAATGTAATAAAATATCAAATTAAAAAGTAATATAGCATAGATTTGTTAATTGACCCTTTTCCTGTAAGCAAAGTGAGTAGACATTATATAAATTCCAATGATACAGAGTGAGACAACATCGCGCAGGCGAAGTCAGATTTTTGGAGCGCCAAGTTAAAATTAACCAATGAGCGACAGATTACGCATGTGTAGCCGGTTGCATTCTGTCAAAGCGGTTTGTTGTCACAAGCGTTTGCTCTGCTGCCGGAGTGCTGGATACTATTTCCAACGTGGTTTTGAAGATGCGTGCGCACGGAAAGTCACTATGGAAGTTTTACGATCTTACAGGAAAAGGGTCAATATTATGAATTTCCCAAAAAAAAAGTTATAAAACTTCTTCTAAATTCATTTCCCGTCCCCCGGTTTTGAACAATATTGACCTGGTATTTGACTGTCTTCTAAGCCCATTTTTTATTAAACACCCAACCAACGTTAGAGAAAATAAATATCAGCACTATTCGAACTACACACGCACAAACTAACCTAAAATATTTGACGTTTCTATACAAACAAGCGTCAGTGTTGCCAATAGAAATGAAACGTTTACACAATTCCCCAACTAAGTATTACTTGGTTAAGTAGAGTCTAAGCGGCGACGGTGCAACAACTGTACAATTTAAGAAGTAGTTACTTTTAAGAATTGCTTAGCTAAGCAATGCTTACCGCTAACGTTGGTGCAAATGGGCATAAGTGTTTTATTGTTGAAAGAAGATTATCTATATGTACCAAGAAAATCGAAGAATAAACTACACCCACCCGCCCCATCTCAATTGTGATTAATCCTTTTACCAAATTGGAAAATCGGTTCCACTTTCAAAACTTTTGAAGTACTTATTCTGTAAGGTCCTTTCTTATGTATTTTTAAAATTATATATTAAGGTACATTTTGATCAAAAAGACTTCGTCTACGACTTAAAATTAAAAGAGAAGGTTGTAGCTAAATATTTTAAAGCTCAAGATTTCAAACGTAAAGCTCCATTTAAAATTATTATCAATCCAGAAGATACAATAAATGAGAAAAATATCAAGATTGATATGCGGTATCCACTGATAAACAATTTACAATTAGTAACGTAAATCGAGTGTTTAGGAAAGTACTACCAAAATTTATTGCAACAGAAAGAAGACGAAATTTATTGATTAAAAGAAAAAAATTATAGTTTAAATTTAGAGAATTAAAAAATTAATGACAAACAAATGTTGGTTGGTTTATACTATTTACATTATTATATTTTATTTTTTCTTTATTACACATTCTATTTTTTGTATTTTTTTCTGATGTGCCGTTAACCTATGTCGTATAGGCCCAGTAGTTTTGGAGCTTAAGTATTATCTGTCTAATAAAAACCGTTTTTATTTAGTGCCTTTTCACACGATAAAAGGTTTTGCAATGCGGCAAAGGTCAAGAAATTGTTTTGGGATAAGAAACAAAATTATATGCAAATGAATCACTCTGCTATCAAGGCAGTTGCAGTTTATATTTCTTTGATTGCATATGTGTATTCGAAATACGTACAATGTAATTAACTAATTAATAAGCAATCCACGAGATTATTTTAAAATTGAAGCGATGATATTTTAAATTGTCATTGTATATTATATTACTCAGCACTTACTTCGCGAATGATAATAAAATTTATTAATAAATTAATTACTTATATTTTTTCTTGACAACAATGTTTAAGATGATAATTCGTAAGAACAACTTGATCACATTTATTCGTACAAAATAATTAAACGGACACTGAAATCAGTTAAATTAACATTTCTTCAGGTTTTAACCCAACAATGTCTTTAGTCAAGTCCCACAATTTTTTCGAAAGTCCTGGAACCCTGGTAGTTATATAAGGCGGTACTTCTTGGCAGTCTTCAAAATGTGCTCCATTACATCTTTCGATGTCTTTGGCCACAGAACAATAAATTGTAGTCTGCGCTCCTTCTTCGCTTGTCTGGACAGTTAAGCAGTACAAATTTACGATAAAGGTATTAAAAAACCAAAACAACACTTACTTTAAAGAACAAATTTTTAAGGAAATTTGCAATAAATTTTGATGTGCCTTTGGTACGTCTGAAAATTTCAGTCTTCACGGCCCCTGGATGCAATGAATACGTGGTTGTTTCAGTCCCATCTAATCTCTTCGCAAGTTCTATGGTGAATAAAATATTGCATAACTTGGAGTAGTTGTACACGTAATAAACTCCTGGGAACTGATCTACATTAGCTACTTTAAAATTACGGGCGTATTTTGCGAGAATCGATGATACATTGACCACTCGGCTTCCTTTAGTCTTTTTTAGTAGTCCTAAATCATTAATGTATATAGAATTACAGCGATAATAAATTTTCTACAAACCGATAAGAAGATTTGTTAGAAGAAATGCAGAGAAGTAGTTAATTTGCATCAGCAAAACGTGCCCATCTTTACTCCTCCTGTTACCTATTCCTCCAGCTCCTGCATTGTTGACCAAAATGTCTAAACGTTCCTCTGTTTCGTTTATCTTCTTCGCAAACTCTCTTACCGATTCAAAAGAATTCATATTAATCAATTGTACAACAATATTGTTGTTGCCTGTTTCTTTCACTATTCTGACTCGAGCTTCTTCTGCACGCCCTTCGTCTCGACATGCTAAAATCACTCGAGCACCCCTTTTGGCAAAGTCTAAAGCCGTATCGTAACCGATACCTAAAATGACTTTTAATTTTCCAGAGGTTACTAAAGCACACTTACCTGTATTAGCTCCTGTAACTATTGCGGTTTTGCCCACCAAACACGTATGACTTCGGCACCATCCTGTTGTCACTTTCATATAAATCTTGAAGACAATAAGTAGTACAAAGATGATGAGAAATATAATTGTAGTTATGGACAGCATGATTCGACAAAGGTCAGCGTTTATTAAGCGACAACTGTTTACGCTGCCGTCAATAAGCAAGTGGGTTCTCGTGATTGTATAATTGATAAGAAGTGATAACATTTACATGGCAGAAATAGTCAAATCTCCGAAATAAAAATTTTGGTAATATAACACAAACACGTAGTAAACATAACTGCACACACGTTTTTTTTTACAAGTTTTAAGGACTAAAATTCTAATTATTTACAACGTAATGAATACATTATTGTACCTGATACATATAAACAATGCTTATTACGAATAATAAATTACAAAAACCCTGCTCGGAAAACAGTGACTTTTCTATTTTTTGTGATACTGGTTAACATCGGTGTTAATTTCTTAGACAGCAAACGGTGGATCTTCTCCTGTTCTTAAATAATAATCTTCTCGTGTACTACTAGGTGTATCATCTCCCATTGGAACTCCTTCTCCGTCTTCACATGAATCGCTCTTTTCAAAATTTTCGAAAGAATCACAAGGGTACCCCATAAAAGGAGTCTTAGAAACAAGACTTTCAGCAAAATATATCCAACTTCGTCCATGACTACAACCCTCCACCATCTAAAAAATACCTGAAAACCCTTCTTTTTCTACAATTTCTTCACCTACTTCAAAAATATTTCCACACCCAGGTTGAGGGACGCTTCCACCGTTTGGACGAAAATCAGCATGACCTATGGAATCCCCCACTCCTAAGTATCCTGCACAAGTATGAATGACATCAACAAAACCAGCATCGTCCTTTTTTAAACGTCCACCACTCACTAACTGGATATTATCAAACCCAGGTTTAGCAGGATCAAGGGCTGTTATTCTTCCAATTTTCCCTTTTTTGACAACTCGGGCTGCAAAACCTGACACGTGAGCACCTAGACTGTGACCCACCAGGTGAATATTTTGAGGATCTACTCCATAATCTACAATTTTGTTTAGGAATTTGGAGTAGAATTCACCCACGGAATCGCTGGCAGACAAAATGATAGAGTAGCTAGCGTTGTCAGAAATTTGGCCTTAGTCCATTACAATCACATTTGCGTCGTATTTTTTCAAGAAGCCGTTTTTAATATCTATACATGAGTGGGACGTGCCATTATACATCCATCCATGGGTCACAAATTTCGTTGGTTTGGTCTTGTCAAAAATTATATCATAGCTTTGGATCAAGTCTTCAATAAGGGTGCCATTGGGGTGTTGTCTAAATTTTTAAATTTACTACTGGAAGAAGAAAGGAGTGGTAGCTACCTGGTGTAGAGAGTAAATGAAACTGCTTCGCTTGGTTCTGGAGCGAAAAATTTATTTTCAGGACCATAGAAATAGCCAACGACTTCTGATCCGTTGTCTTTTTGACACAGTGGTATCCATTCTGTGCTAAAACCAGGGTATTTGGCCTAAAGAAAACGCAGGCCGTAGTTTTGGCACATAACACTTCCTGAATGTATAGTGAACCAAGAGTTATAAGGTTATATGGCCATCATAAAAGTAGTTGACCGCAAATAAATACCCCCTTTGTGTGGTTCGCACTAAGCTTACCGGTTGGCAATAAATCATCTTCTAAACATTTCTTGCTCATATTTAACAGGGCCGGCTTTCAAAGCGAGTGGTTATTTCGGAACCCTCAGCGGCTGCAGGTAGTAAAGAAATAGTGGAGTGGTGGATTTTCATATTTAGTGAAAGCCGTCCCTGAACGAAACCACAAGAGCCGGTCGAGCTGCAGTGGACACGTTATTTACGACCCTAAAACCTTTTCTATTGTAACCAACTTAACTTCGACACAATGGGATGATTTTATGATGGCCATATAAACTTATAGCTCTTGGTTCACTATAATTCTAACTTAAGTTTTAAAACTATAAAACTTACCAAAATATAACAAAATAAGGAACATTGTTGCGTACATCCTCTACCGTAATGGATACGTTGATAATGAAGAACTAGGGCACGATTCGTATTTAGTGGTTTGTTAAATTTTTAGTCTACATATATTTGTGATTAGAATGAGTGATAACGACAAAAGTAGGGTAAAAATATGCGTGACGCCGTGCGCAGAAGCGATGCGCAGTAGTCATACTAGTATGGTGGCGCTTCGATCGCGTCGCATGGTTTGCGCCTTTACTGAATGTTCCGGTAGATGTCTCTTTGCGCTCCGGAATTTTTGTGTGTTTAAAATTTGGCGGGTAATTTAAAATAAAATTCCCTTACGTCTCAAGATGAGGGTGCACGCTTCTGAGTGAGGCCCCTCTAAATCTAACCCCACTTTTCATTCAAAATTATTATCGAAAAATAGTAGCAACAAAAACAAAAATTTTAAATAATTATATATTTATAAACTTATACTATAATACATTTGAAAAAAATAAAAGTATCCATTATAAACAAATCTTAAATCTAATTAATATATACAATATAAAAGCAAAAATAAACAATAGAGTACAAAACTAATGCCTAATTAACTAATGAACATATTTTACATAATTCATTTTAAAAAATAAAAAACAATATATATGAAAGCGAAAACTATAACAGAAACAAAAAAACTAGTAAACAGAATTAATATAATTAATTCATCGTCTTCATAAGCAACTTCCATACTTTTGGAGTCTTCTTCTTCTTGTAGAGTCGTAAGTTGATTTTCATATATTTTCTTTCGATGCGAAACTTGTAATGTAGTTTCTAGATGGATTCCAGTTGTAGTTTCCGTCTTCGAAATCGTTCACCATCTCTAGCGTATTGTTGCTAAATAGGACCATTTCACCATTAAAAATGTATTTTCGGAGAGTTAAAATTTCCGAGCGAAGATAATAAAAATAGTTGAAACTAAAATGAAAATTTATCGGTTTAGATTTACTTTATAAAAAAATGTATACTGACAATAACGGAAATCCCTTAATTTTTCAGCTTTTAAACTCGTTTTTCGATAACTCTGAGAACCGATAAGATTTTCTTCCTCATATGAGCGAATTAGCAACTGTAGGATGGGTCAAAGCAGAAAACGAAGAGAAAGTTGATTCAGGACTAAAAGCAGTCGTTGAAATTGGTGCTACTATAGGACCTCTTCCAAGTATTATAAGAATTTTGTAATAAATGTTGAATCATCACATGATATCGGTTAAATTTATCCATGAATTTTTTCCGGTGGAAGACCCAACCATTTAACAGAACTTTTTCCTCCTTTGCGACGTACTACTTTTTCGATTAAATATACGTAAGAATATTTAGTTTTTTAAAGTTCGTAATTATAAATATCTTCGTAGACTAGTTAGGTGTGTAACCTTTTTCGAACAATAATTTTTCTTTGCTGCTTCTTACAAAATCATCAGGTAAAAATTTTTTGTTTTTGGGCACAATTTTCAGTCCTCGTTAAATATTGTTATCTCTCCTTCGTTATATTTGTTCATTTCTATTGGTTTCTTTCCAGTCGTACGATGAATAGATGAGTTGTATTCAGATGTGACCCGTTCTAAATGATTTAACCATCTATAGGAAAAAGTTTAGATTTAATTGTTCGAATGACTCTTTCCGCGATAGATGCCTTTTTAACGCTGTATGTACTATAATGATTAATTTTGTATTTTCGCTTTAATTTGTTGAAACGATTATTATAAAATTCTTTTCCTTGGTCGCTTTGTAAATTTCTCGGATGTCGTCGACTTCTTTTAAATATGAACTCCATAGCTTGCACAACTTCTTCTGCTCCTTTTGTTTTGAGCGATTTAGGCCATAAAAATTTCGAAAAGCAGTCGAATTTGTATCCAATATTTTCGCTAAAGTAACTAGAAACGTAAATCAGGCAAATCGATCTGCCACAAGTCATCTAAGCCTTTGTTTACTGTATGTCTTCTATGAAATGTTCTCCGTGCTGGTTTAAAAATTTCTGCAATTTGGTTTTCTATATTCGATATTGCAGCATTGAATTTATTATCCCACAATTTATCCGCTTCCGCAATGTTCTTCTTTAACGCTCTCAGTGCACTAACAAGGTTATCAGTTTTTTATTAAGACCTTCTTTAATCACATCCGTATATTGTTTCGTACATACATCGTTTTTATCAGACGGTAATGACACATTACAAATTCTATGAGTAGCCAGTAAAATTTTTACAGGCCTGCTCGTGCTCATACAGCCATGTATTTTAAACATTTTAAACTATTATAAGTTGTAATGACAGCCAAAATTGATTCAGGTAAATTTTCACTCACAATTGCTGCTTCCTCAGTAATATAGCTTGCGCCACACTCATTTCTCAATACATCGAAAACGATAAATCTAAAGCTCATACGATGTTTCTTCAAATATTGGAGCTTCTAGAGTTTTTAATAGTTTATAATAGTTATTTACAAGTGAGAAACAAATAAAATATTGAACAATACACGCAAGGTAACGGGTTTTTACTGGCTCCAGAAGGTGATCTTACCATGCTAGTAATGTTAAGGTTGGCGTCTGGTTCGGTTTAGCCCTATACTAAATACATTGAAAACATCGTCGCGGTTTCCAGAGTTGCATTTTAAAAATATGAGATATATCGCTTTAAAAAAATTATATTTCGAATTAAGAAACTTCAGTCCAGGGGACCTCCATATTTATATTCATATCTAGTATGCAGTTTTTACAAAAAAAAATTATAAAGTTGAACAACTTTTACATCACATTTTAACCGGCACATAGATGCATTTTTTGACGAAGTGCTGAAGTTTTTTGCATTCTGAGATAGGAGGTCCCCTGGGGAAAAGTGTCAGCTTTCTTTTGATACCATATATAATATTAAAAAATCCACGACTGAGGTAAATAACTCGCGAAAAATCAAAATCTATTGAAACGAGAAATCGGCATTAAACGAGCTGTGATGCGGTAGCAGAATGCAGGTTTACTTAGATTCTGACTTGGTTGGAGATTTCAGTATTTTAAAAATGCAATTCCGGAAACTACGACGATGTTTTCAATGTATTTAGTATTGGGCGAAACCGAACCAGACGCCACCCTTAAATACTATAATTTGTTGGCTCAATGAAAATTTGCTCTCCTGGATTGACAGTTATAGCGGTTTCATAGATGGTATGTGATCTTTTACTTTGATAATAGGATCCTGTAACCATATTACATTCCACTCGAATCGTGCTCACTTTTATAATATTTACAGGTAAATCGCTTTCGTGTAAAGTGTTTGCAGGTAGGTAAATTAACTCCATATTTACTCTTCAATTCACACTTTAAAGTATTAAGGTTAGGTTTTAGAGAAAAAATTGTTGATCGTTCTTTGTCGCTCGTACATTCTAGGCAGAGAAAATTCTGAATATACTGTTCTATTGCATCTATAGGCTCCCTTAGCGAAAATGATCTCTCTTTCTTTACTATCACCTTCTTTGAAATAATGAAACTTGTTTGTTCCGTACTCGATACTTGGAATATTATTCGTGGTTAGAAATCCTGTAAAAGCCAATGAGTATTCGTAATGTGGATGAAGGTCAATAACAGAATTATACGTAGCACTTAATCTATTTGTATTACCGACAAGTGAAAACGTCGTATGCATGATGAAGACTGAGGTAGAAAAATATCAGTCAGGTTACTTTATACCAATTTTATTTTATTAGACAAAAATTGTAAACACAAATGTCGACAATTATATTTTAATTTTTGAAATCTTTTATGATTAAAGCATATTTTACAATTTTTAAAATATTCCATTAGCTCTGGTGGTGGTTTCAAATTACCGTAACTGTCAAAATAATAAACATTTTTTCCAAATTTTTTATAAGCTACCCAGTGAGTCATAGTTTCTAGGCCCAGCTGATGGTAATGAATTTCTCATAAATACACCTCTAAAATTAGAAATTTTTGATAACGAATCATATTTTCTTACATCCTCATCCGATAAAGGTCTTTTGGGTAGTTCTAGTAAAAGTTTTTTGAGACGTTTTCCAAAAATAAACCGTAACCGTCTTTACGTTTTCGTAAAAATAATTCGCTTCCTTGTTTTCCTATTACTATAGCTTCCATTGTTTTGTGGTGACGTTATTTTTCGTCCAATTTTTGTTTCGCTTGTTTTGCATCGTTTACCGCTTTGGCTATACCAGCTCCACCTCCAGACAATGCACCAAGGGCTGATAATCCTCCAAATATCAACGGTAGAAGTGGTAAAAATCCTCCGTGTTTAATTGGAAGGACACGGGGTATTTTAATTCGACTCCGACCTCCTGCTTTTTTTATTGCTAATAGAGCGGTTTTTAGTGCGTTTTGTATAGTGTTGAGACCAACATGATTGTTTTATTGTATTGATGAGCTCAAAACAGCTCGATGAAAAGTTCGTCGTTATCATGATTACATCATTGAGGCTTGTCCCCACAACGCTACAGATTGATTACTTCATCGAGGCATTTCCTCAAAACGCTGCAGATTGATTACTTCATCGAGACTTGTCTTCGCAACGCTAGAGATAGATAACATCAACGAGGCTTATTCCTCCCACCGCTAAAATATACGTACATCATCAAGGCAATTCCTCGCAACGATTTAAAATTTACATCACCGAGACGCTTTCTTCCTCGCAACGATGATATTTTTGTGTCTGCTTATTATGTGTTTTGTTAGGCTATCCAGTTCGCGGTTTTCTAAACTCTCAAAGTAAATTCTTTTTTTAAAATAACCAATCACTTAGATCATGATATAATTTGACATAATGTAAACTCTTTGTTTGAATCGTTGATAAAGTATGGCAATTATTAATCTCATGTAAATTTTTCTAACTTTGCAATTTTTCACCTCATACAATATTTCTCTATCTCACAATTTAACTTCAGTAATTTTCTTTGGTATATAATTTTAATTGAACGTAAATTTCATTCACTGCAATTTTGACCTCACATAATATTTTCATTTGCACAAGTTTATTTCACTCCAGATCTTTTGTTTTTATAAATCTTTGCTAGTTTTGTTTTGTAAATATTTTGTTGATGAATGTTTCCATCGTATAAATTATTTGATGTCCAATTTTAATCTCACATAAGAATTAATTGTTCTATAAAGTTTCACTAGATTGTATGGCGAATTTAAATGTTGTTTATTGCTCTTTTGTTGTTAATATCAGAAATTATAAGAGATTGAACATTTAAAATGGAACTGAGGTTAAATAACATAGAAAACGTGGCAGAAGTGAAGTGTGGTGTGGATAGATTCAGGGGCGGTTGCGATGTTGTAGTTCTCTCGATTTGGCCCAATAGTCGAGACCTAACTGCGATCGTAATGACCTAGTTTCGGACGGCAGGTTCATCCTAGAGACGTGTAATATGCTGTACGGGTAGGCTTGCGATAGATAGAATCATCGTCGAGAGGGGGGAGAACAGCCCCAGACCGGTAGCCCCAAACTCCGCTTGTGCTAGCACGCCTCAGAGGTACTTTTGTTGTGCTCCTGTTAACTGCCCTAACTTTAAATTTGACGCCACACGCCCGTAATAACTTGTGTGTTTGCAGTTACTTTAATTCAGATTTTGCATTGATTCCAAACAGATGTATAGGATTTCCGTTTGTTCGTTTTTCATATGTGTATGTCTGTCAATTTTTCTTTCATATTTTTTTAAGGTGTTTGAAATATAATATGTCCGTGAATATACGACAGGGGGTTTTTGGGGCTGAGGAGTGAATCCTCGCAGCTTCTTTCCTCCTGAGAGGGGTGCCATGTTAGCCCCTCCAAAACAATTTTGTCTATTATTTCTTGCGCTCTCGACTCACACACACACGCAGTATATGCTCACTTGTACGAAAGAACGTCTTCCCGCCACTTTAAAAAAAACACACACACACAACGTAGGTTCCCATTTGTAAGACGATCACAGCCAAGGCCAAACTTTGAATTTTTAAATTTTTCGCGGGCCTTTCAAACTTTTTTATGGTCAATTTAAAGGCGGGAAGTTTGGGTTATCACAATCCAGAAGACACAACTAATGAGAAAAATATGAAGATTGAAAATTCGGTATCCACTGATAGATCAACAATTTACAATTTTTAACGCAAATCGAGTGTTTAGGAAAGTACTACCAAAATTTATTGCGGAAGAAAGAAGACGAAATTTATTGATTAAAAGAAAAAATTTACAGTTTAAATTTGGAGAATTAAAAACTTAATGACAAATTGTCCAAAATTTTGGTTGGTTCAGACTATTTACATTTATATTTTATATTTTCCTTATTACACATTCTATTTTTGAATTTGCTGCTGTGAAGGCAGTTGTAGTTTGTAGTTTATATTTCTTTGATTGCATATCTGTATTCTAAATGCGTACAATGTAATTAACTAATTACCAAGCAGTCCACGAGATCATTTTAATATTGATATTGTTACGAAATAAACTCATAACCTCTCCGGTACCTATGAGTTTTTCTAGTATGTGTGTCGATGAGCGGTGACTCATTGACGGCCGAGCGGCGGGCGCATAAAGACAGTCTGGAGCCGGTTACCGGAAGTCTCGAAGCGACGTCCAGGGAAGTCTCAAAGCGGATGGATGTTCGTGAAAGATCTCGATCGGAGATTCGGAGAAGTATGGGTTTAAATAGAGGCGACCGTCGGGAATCGATTATTCAGCCAGTGGAGACAGTCAAGAGTGTCCAATGAAATTCACCGGAATAATTTCTGTACATATTCGTTGCAATAGTTAGTAGTGTAATTCGAGTTAAAGAAATAAATCGTTGAGTTTTTTTACCTACGCCCGATTAATTATTCGCCCGTCAAACGTAACAACATGATGATATTTGATACAGCGTTGGTCATTGTATTTTTATATTAGTCAGCACTTGCTTTGCGAACGATAATAAAATTTATTAATATAAATATATTTATAATTAGGTACTTATATTTTTTTCTTGACAACAACGTGGTTGAACTTTGTTTTATTCGTACGAAATAATTAAACGGACATTGAAAACAGTTAAATTAACATTTCTTCAGGTTTTAGTCCAACAATATCTTTCGTCAAATCTCAAATCCCACATTTTTTTCGAAAGTCCTGGAACCCTAACAGTTATATATGGCGGTACTTCTTGGCAGTCCTCAAAATGTGCTCCGTTATGTCTTTCGATGTCTTTGGCCACAGAACAATAAATTGTAGTCTGCGCCCCTTCTTCGCTTGTCTAGATAGTAAAGCAGTACAAATTTACGATAAAGGTATTAAAAAACCAAAACAACACTTACTTTAAGGAACACATTTTTAACGAAATTTACAATAAATTTTAATGTGCCTTTGGCATGTCTGAAAATTTCAGTCTTTACGATTCCTGGATGCAATGAATACGTGGTTGTTTCAGTCCCATCCAATCTCTTCGCAAGTTCTATGGTGAATAAAATATTGCATAACTTGGAATAGTTGTAGATGTAACAAAGACCTGGGAACTTATCTACATCAGCTAGTTCAAAATAACGGGCGTATTTTGCGAGAATCGATGATACATTGACCACTCGGCTTCCTTTAGTCTTTTTTAGTAGTCCTAAATCATTAATGTATATAGAATGACAACAATAACAAATTTTCCACAAACCAAAAAGAAGATTTGTTAGAAGAAATGCAGAGAAGTAGTTAATTTGCATCACCAAAACGTGTCCATCTTTACTCCTCTTGTCACCTATTCCTGCAGCTCCTGCATTGTTGACCAGAATGTCTAAACGCTCCTCTGTTTCGTTTATCCTCTTCGCAAACTCCCTCACCGTTTCAAAAGAACTCATATCAATCAGTTGTACAACAATATTTTTGTTGCCAGTTTCTTCCACTATTCTGATTCGAGCTTCTTCTGCACGCCCTTCGTCTCGACATGCTAAAATCACTCGAGCACCCCTTTTGGCAAAGTCTAAAGCCGTATCGTAACCGATACCTAAAACGACTTTTAATTTTCTAGAAGTTACTAAAGCGCACTTACCTGTATTAGCTCCTGTAACTATTGCGGTTTTGCCCACCAGACATGTATGACTTCGGCACCATCCTGTAGTCACTTTCATATAAATTTTGAAGACAATAAGTAGGGCAAAGATGATGAGAAATATGACTGCAGTTGTGGACAGCATATTCGATAAAGGCCAGCGTTTTTTACTGTTTACGCTGCCGTCAATATGCAAGTGGGTTCTCGTGAATGTATAATTGATAAGAAGCGATAAGATTTACAAGGCAGAAATAGTCAAATTTCCAAGATAAAAATTTTGGTAATACAACATTTACAAGTCAGAAATAGTCAAATCTCCAAAATAAAAATTTTGGTAATATAACACAAACACGTAGTAAACATAACTGCACACACGATTTTATTTTTATAAGTATTAAGGAGTAAAATTTTAATTATTTACAATGTAATGAATACATTTTTGTACCTGATACATACAAACAACGCTTGTTCCTGTTACAAATGATAAATTACAAAAACCCTGCTCGGAAAATAGTAACTTTTTTATTTTTTGTCGTTCTGGTCAACATCGGTGTTAATTGCTTTGACAGCAAACGGTGCAGCTTCGCCTGTTCTTAAATAATAATCTCCTCGTGTACTACTAGGTGTGTCATCTCCCATTGGAACTCCTTCTCCGTCTTTACATGTATCGCTCTTTTCAAAATTTTCGAAAGAATCACAAGGGTACCCCATGAAAGGAGTCTTAGAAACAAGACTTTCAGCAAAATATATCCAACTTCGTCCATGACTACAACCCTCCACCATCTAAAAAATACCTGAAAACCCTTCTTTTTCTACAATTTCTTCACCTACTTCAAAAATATTTCCACACCCAGGTTGAGGGACGCTTCCACCGTTTGGACGAAAATCAGCATGACCTATGGAATCCCCCACTCCTAAGTATCCTGCACAAGTATGAATGACATCAACAAAACCAGCATCGTCCTTTTTTAAACGCCCACCACTCACTAACTGAATATTATCAAACCCAGGTTTAGCAGGATCAAGGGCTGTTATTCTTCCAATTTTCCCTTTTTTGACAACTCGGGCTGCAAATCCTGACACGTGAGCACCTAGACTGTGACCCACCAGGTGAATATTTTGAGGATCTACTCCATAATCTACAATTTCGTTGAGGAACTGGGAGTAGTATTCACCTACGGAACTGCTGGCAGACATGGGGATGGGGTAAACAACGTTCCCAGCAATGTCGCCCCAGTCCATTATAATAACATTTGCGTCGTATTTTTTCAAGAAGCCGTTTTTAATATCTATACATGTGTCGGACGTGCCAGCAGACATCCATCCATGAGTCACGAATTTAGTTGGTTTAGTCTTGTCAAAAATTGTGTCGTAGGTTTGGATGGAGTCTTCAATGAGGGTACCATTGGGGTGTTGTCTAAATTTTTAAGTTTACTAATGGAAGAAGAAAGGAATGGTAGCTACCTGGTGTAGAGAGTAAATGAAACTGCTTCACTTGGTTCTGGGGTGAAAAATTTGGTTTCGGGAGCAGTGAAATAGCCAATGGCGAGTGCTCCGTCGTCTTTTTGATACATTGGTATCCATTCTGTGCCAAAACCAGGGTATTGGGCCTGAAGAGCACTCCGGTCGTAGTTTTGGCACGTCACACTTCCTGCACGTAATTCTAACTTAAGTTTTATAAGTTGAAACTATAAAACTTACCAAAATATAACAAAATAAGGAACATTGTTGCGTACATCCACAAAATACGACTACAATTAATACATTATTTTTATACTTTGCTGTCGATTCAGCCCAAAATAATTACTTCCGCGGTTTACGTTGTATTAATGAATAAGTATATTTTATCTAAAGGGTCCTAATTAGCAATAATAAGCGTGCATTAAATTATAAATATTTAAATAGCGGATGAGTTTTTGATATGAAAATCACCTCTGCCGTAATGGATATAATCAGGTTAAGTTGATAGTGAAGAACTAGGGCACGATTCGTATTTAGTGGTTTGTTAAATTTTTCATCTGCATATATTTGTGATTAGAACGAGTGATAACGACAATTATTTGAAATTTATTTGACACAAGAACATCCGCAGGTAAAAAATATCAATAGGTGGGTTGTTTAGTATTGTATATTTTAAATATTCATTTTCTGGTGTAGCAATGAACACTTTTGTAAACAGTCGAAGAAAAAAAAACGTCGTGTATGTGATTCTTTGACTTTAAATAATTCATTGACATATAAAATGTAAATGTAGTAAATGCTATTTAAATTTTATAAAATGATATACTCCTATACTTGTAATTTATGAATCCGTCTTAAGTTTTTACCACCACTTTATACTCAACTTGTCTCTTATACCATCAGGAGACCAATTTTTCTGTAGTTCGTTTAATTATATTTATGATTGCTCACTGTAGATAATTTTTGTTAGTGATTTTTCAGGCTGATTATATTCTCAAAACACGTTCTAACTTAAGTTTTATTTTGAATTCTTTCAATTCTTTTAAAAACAAAAGATGAAGCGCCCCCAAGTTTGTTTTAAACTCTTTCAAAAAATATCAAATATTCTAAAATTCCTTTAAATTTTTAAAAACATAAACCGCTCGGTATTTCAAAACTCTAAAAAGAAATTAGAAAAAAAATCGCTTTGCCAATTTCTGGAAAATATCGGACGACTCGGTTCTTGGAATTCGCGGACCCAAGTATGGGTCTCCGAGGGAGTAATGCACCGAAACCAGTCTTAACGAGTTCGGAGAAGTGTCTTCCACTGTTAATTAATTAAATCAACTTTGAATAATATTTTAAAAAAAATTGTTTTGGTTTTTAGTGAATCAAGAGTTAAAGTGAAGTTTAAACGGTTTTTGAAAAAAATTCTTTTGGTTTGATGGGCAAAGTCTTAGTGGAGTTAGTAGTAGCAGGATCTAAGAGGATTTTATGGAGGTTCAAAGTTTGTTCTGCCTAAGTTTTATTACGATTTTCAAAATTATATCGTATACGTTTAAAAAGGGAAAATTCTGTGGATTCACCATGGTTGATAAAAAAGCAATTCGTTGTTGTAATTCTGCAATTCCATGAGCTTCTGATTTATAAAAGTTTATTTACATTTTTCGAAAATGACAGTGAACTCTTCAAAGACAAATTTAACAATAAGTTGCGTGAATATGTTTTCTTAATTTATACTTTAACCAAAATTTGTCTAATCATCCCCATTAACAATTTCATGACGTTACCTCAACATTTTGCGTAGTAAAAGCTATTCTAGTTTTATAAAATAAGATACTTCTATAGTTTATGATTCCGCCTTGACTTTAAGATCCAAATTATATACTAATATTTTATAAAATTCGTTTAGGTTTTATCCTTTTTGCTTAGTTTTTCTTAAATTTTGCAATAATGGAAGAAATTACATGTGTTTGATTATGCTTCAGGAGTTGGATTTAAATAACTTTAGGTCGGTTTTTACTTCCCGAGCGTAAGTGAAGAAAAAACTGAAGTCAAGTTCATCAAGCCACTGGCTACTTTTATATTTTCTCAACGTTTTACATTGGTGGGAGACTTCAAAATATTTTATTGGCAACGTGTAAATGTATGGTAAATATCGGATTTTGAGGGGTTTAAAAGGACGGGCTCTATCGGTTACCTGTTATAGGTGGATCAGAAAAATGGATAAAGTTTGTTTGACCACAAATTTTAAAATTCTGCCCCTGTTTACTCAACTATTCATTAAGATATTTTATTTCTGTAAAGCGCAAAGGATTTTTTAATACAATTTCTACTAATGTACCTTTTTGAAAATTTAAATTGATCCATAAATAGCGAAAACCAGACAATCTCATATTCATCACAATTTTAACGCGTTGTAGTTTTTTTTTGACAACAAAATTTAAAAAACGGGAAAGCAGTCTGAGTAGGGTTTTGTACGTTGATTTCAACGGTATGAAGTTTATTAATAATAATAATAATAATAAACTTTATTCATTTCCAGAAAAACATATACACATGTATAAGGAAAGATCGTCAACATTATAAATAAACAATTAATAAATGTGCAACATATAAGTTTGTGAGTTAGACATCACGGAGGAACTCATCTAATGTATAATAGCTTTTTTTTAATAGAAATTTTTTGACATTTAACTTGAACACACGTAAATTGGTGTTAATTCTTATGTCTACTGGCAGCGCATTAAAGAACTTACATCCGTTATAGAAGCCAGCTTTTTGATACATTGATGTTGAGTGTTTGTGTGGTAACAAAGTCACATTCTTATGTCTAGTATGATATTGATAATTAGCTCTATTGATGGTAAAGTCTGAAAGATTTTTATATACCATAGAAACAAGTTTGTAAATGTAAATACTGGGTACCGTCAGTATTCCAAGTTCGCAAAAAGCTTTTCTACAAGAGTCTGAAAATTTCAACTTTGCCATCATTCGAACAGCTAGTTTTTGAATCAAAAAAACTTTATGAGAGTCAGTGGCAGCTCCCCAGTGACATATTGCATAGCGTATAATGCTGTGGAAACAGCACACAATCGGACGTATACTTTTGGCAAAAACTTGGGCAGGAGTTTATATGTATTTTCTTATTCTGGAATATACTTTAGCTCACCCTTAAAATGATGAAGAGCTTATGTATATTATGGTTACCTGGTTTCTTAACAAATTCTGTACTAAACTCGTTTTAGATTTTAACTCCCTACTGGACTGGGTTAATCGTCTTTTTGTGGGGTGGGATTATTATCCCACCAGGTCAGGTAAACGATTCGTAGAAAAAAACAAAACAATATTTTTGAGTATCTGGGTTAAAAGTAATTGCAAAAAGTAATTGTAAAAGTGTCTGAATTACTCAAAAAAAGTAATTTATTAAAATTACTCATATTTCTTGGAAAGTAATGCATTACAATTACTCATTACTTGAAAAGAAATTAAATTGCAGTAATGAATTACTTCCAACCACTGGATACTATACATATATCACTATGGATAGGTGCAGTGTAATACCAATGATAACAATATTGTTACGAAATAAACCCATACGCCGCGCCGCCCCGGTACGACGCCTATGGATTCTAGCATGTACGGCGATGATGACTCATTGTCAGTGACGGCGGCAGACGATGGCTGTGCTCGCACAAATGGACGAGAAAATGGGCGCAAGAATGGAAAAAATGGGGGGAAATGGACGAAAAAATGGACGCAAGAATGGAAAAGATGGACGAAAAAATAGACAAGCATAAAGATGACAATCACCAGCCTAAGTGAAAAATTCCAAGTGGAAGTGGAAGCAAACAAAAATGAAATAACAGGAATTAAAGAACAAATGAAGGACATAGAAACAAATTTGAAGGTTATGCAAAATTTTGTCGGAGAAAATGTGGTCTTGATAGATCAAAAAGTAAGAGAGGAAGTCGAACATCAGCTAAAGAGTGAGTTCGAGAAATCAGTAGAGGAATGTATAAAAGATCGAGTGAAAATTATAGAAGCTAGGATGGAGATCAAAATGAAGAAATTCGAGAAGTTAATGAAAAATACAGCAACAACTAGCTCATGTAATGTAAAGTCGGCCCATAGAACAATTCAACCACCCATCTATGATGGTCAGACACCGTGGTCATCATACAAAAAGCAGTTCGAGGCAGCAGCGGCGAATCTTTGGGAAGAAGAAATGAAAGCTACAGCCTTGGTAATAGCGTTGAGAAGTGCAGCGCTGGAGATACTCCATACTCTGTCTGAAGAAGATAGATGAAATAGATACGGTGCCCTAGAACTCCGAAAATAGTTTTTGCCGTCCAATTAAAGACAAGAGCACAGAAAGTTGGGGAAGCATACTCCGAAGCACCACCGAGCCACCGACTATTCAAGAGTGGCTTGCATTTGTAAACGGCATTCGCGACGTTGAAGTTAAAAAAACGTTACAAGTATTCAGGGCCGGTTCTGGCTTGTCAGTAGTCTGCGTGCGAGTGGATTTTTTACACCCCTAACTTGTTACAAATAAATGGTAAAAAATAAGCAAAAAAACAGTTTATTTAATACAGCATGTAGGTAGACATAATATAACAAAGATACAAAAAATATGAAAGAAAAAACCGTAGCTCAAACAATTAAATAAATTTAAGTGAGATACTTGACAGGAAAAAGACAACATCACTATTTGTTACCATTTAACTCCCTTAGTTTTGTTCCTAGCTAAGTCGTCTATAATATCGGACAGATCTAAGCTTTCACAAAGTTCATTTTCAATTGCTAAAAGGCTTCATTCTCTTAGCCGCTCTTGGCTCAGAAGATCGCAAATAATTTTTTATTAATTTTAATTTCGAAAAATTTCTTTCACTAGTGGCAACACTTATAGGTAAGCTCAAACAAATTCTAAAAGAAATAAATAAATTAGGAAATGATGATTGTAAATTATTGTTAACGATGTAATTTAAATTTTAAATAGGATTCAAAAAAATTGTTTGTATGATTTTGTATGTTTTTAAGGTAATTCGTGAAATAAATCTAAACCATCAATGTCTTTTAATAATGAATTTTCGACATTTGCTTGTAAACTGAGGTCCAAATCAAAACAAGCTTTTTTTAATGCTTCTTCAGATAAATTTTGAAAATCGCATAAAAATTTAAATAAATTATTACAGTCATTTAAATTTCGAAATCTCTCTTCAATTGCTGTTATAGCGGTATCTAAAATTACAAAATAAAAATCTATTTTAAAAATTTCTATAGGATCTTCCAAGTTGTTGACTGGGCATTCGTAACTAAAATGTCTTACTTTTGTTTTTTTACGAATAATTGAAAATTCAGCAGAAACGTCATTTTCAGCTGCAAAATTTTTCGCAACACTAATATATTTGTGAAATTCCTCGTTACATCGCTTATCTTTTACAAATTTTAATATAATATCATTTAATATTCTTGAGTATTCATTTAAATTAGACCTTGGCCTTTGTAACATTTTACTTGATACATCTATTTTTGATAATATAACATCCCAAATAACAATGGAACAAATAAATTTAAAGTCTGTTAATTTGTTTAACAATCCGTTGGCCGTATTTCGTTTTGATGTCTCGAGAACTATCCTCAGTTAAGTCATTTAAACTTTTAATAATGCCATTTAGCTGAAGTCTCAGGGGACGAATAGCGTTTATTCTGCTTTCCCACCTAGTATCAGTCACAGGTTTTAAAGTGAGCCTAGGAGTATTATTTTGTAAAACTTCCCATCTATGCGGGGATGCTGAAAAACACTTATATAACTCTTGTATCACATTGAAAAAATGTACTGTTTCAAAAAGAACTTTAGCAGCGTCATTAATTACAAGATTTATTTTAACGTGTGAGATGCACAAGGAATGAAAAGAGCTCGTGGATTAATGTTTTGAGCCTTGTTTGCAACCCTGAATTTTTGCCACGCATATTAGATCCGTTATCATAGGCTTGTCCGCGAATATTTTGTACGTTTAAGTCATATTTTTTCAAGAGATCGTTTACTAAATAATTATGTAAACCCTCGCCCGTCGTGTCATGTACAGGGTAGAATACTAAAAACAATTCGCATACCGAGACATTTGAATTTGTTACGTCAACAATTCTGACGACAAACGATATCTGCTCTACATGACTAACATCTGGAGTACAATCTAAAATGATTGAAAAGTATTTAGCGGCTACTATTAATTTATTTATTTTCGATTTTATTACGGTTGCTAAAACGGATATAATTTCATTTTGAAAAATTTTTCCTATATAGTGTGGCATATGGGTTTTTAATTCTTGCGACATTTTAATGTTTTTAACATGTTCGCAAATTATTGGGTCAAATTTTTCATACTTTGGTTTAATTTTAAACCTATAGTTAATAATTGTTCTATTGCATCAGCAATAATTTTAAAGTGAGTTTTAATGTACAAGAGTTCATTTTTAACGTTTGCTTTATTCAGGAATTCTTGACCTTTTTTAGTGCTTTGTGCATCTGTGGCTTCAAATGACATTACAACCTAAAAATATTCAATATAAGACTGATAGTAAAAAACCGTTATATATTTACTGACTTGTTTTAAAACATCAAAGTGTTCTGCATAAAACAATGATGCTTGAATCCAAGTGCCTCACCTGGTTAATACAGGTTCAGGTGGGAGAGGTGTATTTGGTAAACTGTTTTTATAAAACTCTACTCTTATTGGTGCTTTTAAAAAGATTTTCTTAACATGGCTAATTATCCCATTGACATCTGGATAATTCAGTCTAATTATTTCAGACACTAAATGTAACCCATGTGCCATACATGTTAAGTGTGTTATATTTTCATAAAACACCTTCAAATTAGTACCAGTTTTGATCATGTACGAACCACCATCTGATACAAACCATTTAACTTTATTGTGTTCAGTTCCTTTTGGCCCAATCAAGCTACAAATTAACGATTAAATAAATTATAATAATTTCAATGCTTAAAATTATCAATAGCACACACAAGGATTCGTTTATACGAGTAAATCTCGAGATTGTGTTGCTATTAGTTTTATCAAGCTGCTTCAAAGCTAGTAGAAATGGACGGCCAGTTTCTTCAGAAGATAACTTTCCAATTACTAAATGGGCTATCTATGTATCTTCCTAATCTGTCCGTCGTCTCCTCGACGCTAATCCATATATCATTATTGCCAATAGAATTTCTAATTTGTTTAATTATTACCTGTAAATTATAAAATTTATGTTAAAAAGTTTTTAAATAAAAATTCTAGTGCTCACCATATCGTAATCTTTTGGTAAATAATTTTTTCTCAAAGTGCTTTCTGAGGGTAAATGCCTTCCTGTATAAATATAATGTATGCATAAAATTTTTAAACTCAGGACAACTAACTTTATTCCATGGAATATTTGCTGCGGTAAATGCCCTACATAAATCGGTGCAAAATTGCCTAAAATCATTGTCGGAACTAATGTTTAATAATGTCTGTTTACTGGATTTATTCTTGTTCTTTTTATGTGCATCGTCATTGCAGTGTTGTTGAAAATGTGATTTTTTTCGCACTTAAACTAGGAAACAAAAATGTGAACATAATTCAAGCTGCAGTATTTTAAATGTTTACTTACAACTTTTCCACACACTTTGCAGAATAACTCATTGTCTTTGGTTGAAGAAGGAAATTGAAAATTAGTGTCCAAATTATTCCCTAACCATAGTTTGATTTTATCTTTCATGGATGATTTTACCTTAGGCATTTTGAGGATTCTTTACTGTATGCACAAAAAACAAAACCGTCCCCAGCACACTCACTAACACGTAGACACTCAGTATATAACAATAAACTTCTAAAATAAAACGCTTTTTCAGAGATTCACCTCCCTTCCGGCTATAATTCAAATGAAATGCAGGCCAGCGTTGTCAGTTGGCGACACAAACCCGTACCATTAAACTCAAGGGCGTTGTTTACAACCCATTTTTAAACAATCTGCCAGCCAAAGCAATGAATTCACGGAAAATCTCTATTGTGCAAGCACGTTCGCTTCCTTGGTCGTGGAATCCTATTTTAAGCCTTTTAAAATTTACAATTAGGTCGTTTAATTAACACTTTAGGTCTCTAACGGTAAATTAGGCATTTTAGGTAGTAATAAATGGGCGTTAAATAAACATAATTTTTTAAATTCGGATAAATATATAAATTTCGCTGCAATGCCTGAAGTAGATATAAAAAGGCAAAAAACCTAAGATCCAAAGCCTATTAATCACAAGTATAGACTCATCATATTTTGCACATTTTGGATAGAATTTATCTGGCAAAATTTTGAGATGACGTCATTAATTTTTTGGGAGGGGGGGAAACGAATAAATGTTGCTTAACAATTTGTCATGATTACGATAACCTTAAAATATTTACACGATTTAGGAGCAATCGATTTTGCAGTTTCAAAATCATACAGGGTGTTACAATCAGATCCGTTTTATCGTTATTTGAATACATTTCAAATGCTGACAAACAGTGATAAATTTCTAACGCCCGGATAACTATGTTTAGGGCTATTTGAAATTTAAAAAACGCATCCAAGTAAGTTTTGAATTTGTATTTTGGGTTGCATTTTGCAGGCTCGTACTCATTCGTGTAATGCCCTGTATTGTAAAATATTGTTATTCAATTTCGAATTTTTTCCAAAAATTCTGGATGTCAATGGTAAAATTCTGCACGGATTGACACACCCAAGTGCAGGCAGTGGACTTCTTTAATAAAAAAATGAATACAGACACCAGACAGATAGACATACGGAAACGGGAGACCACTTTTTTCGTACTCTAGAGGTCATGACAAGTCGAGAAAATATGAAAGTGGCAATTCGGCCGATGGACTCGATTACTATATTTCCTTAGCTTACGCTCGGGAAGTAACAAGTAAAATACCTTAAAATTTCAACAGCTAGAACTACTATTTACAAGAAACTAAATTAACTCAAAATATATTGAAATTGTTTACTTTTTATAATTTTAAACCTAAACAGACCTAACTGTGGGGTTGTTCACAATACACACGTTTTTTAACTTGTTTTGATGTTAGATTGGAAAAACAATCTAACACATTTAAAATTATTAAATAAAGAATGAGACATTTTTACATTGATTGAATCAAAAACGATGTTTTTAATTTTTTATTTAAACTTGCAGGGATTCTCATATAAAAAAAATTAAATTGGCAGAATTAAATTTGATAACAAAATACATCAAACTTTCAAGTATTATGTTAAAATCTTTCTAGTATAATAGTCATTGATACCTGAATTACACCCGAAATGCTAACTTGCCCACACACGAACAAAAAAATAATCCCTTATAACCAAGCAACCCTTTTATTTACTCTAAATTCAAAACGTTTTAGACATTACGTCATCCGTTTTTTGATTAATTTTTTTATGGAAAAATCCGACAAAAATGGAAGGTGATTATGAAGAATTGTACAAATGGATCGAAGAACACACAATATCTAGACCCAAACGTAATATAAATCGTGATTTTGCAGACGCCGGTACGTATTTTAACGCTTTTATCTTCCCAAAATGACCAAACTGACTTTAGTGCCCCTCGTTGAAATCTTAAAGCATCATTACCCCAAACTCGTCGAGCTGCACAACTACTGCCCCAAAAATTCCTACTCGCAAAAATTAATCAACTGGGAAACACTCAACAACAAAGTACTGAAAAAATTACAAATCAATCTAACGAAAAAACGAATCGACCAGTTATGCAAAGCCGAAATGGGAGCAATTGAGAGGCTTTTGCTAGAGATAAAACAAAAAGTTGAGCAGAAAACAAGCGGTAACGAACATTGTGAAGTTTTCTATCTAGAAGGGCCAAACAATGGTAAGTGGTTTCAAAATACGATTAATACTAATACTTCACGTGATTTCCAGCTGTGGGGAAATTACAAAACGGTACCCACAAAAAAATGGTACCCAGCACCGTGGTTGATAAAATGCAAGCCCAGTTAGACGAAAAGTCTGAAGCTGTTAACATTCTGAAAAACAAAGTCGACCATCTTGAGAACTTGTTGAACATTAAGGAAGAACGAATCAAGGATTTGAGCATCCAGCTACAGACTATTGTTAATCAGTCGTCCAGACCGGAGTCCGCACAGGAGAGAGCATCCAAGTTTTTCGGTTTTTTCCAGTCCAGTACCATTTTACCAGAACCAAATAAACACGAGCAGTAGTAAAATAATATAATGTAACAAACGTCACCATAAGTGTGTACAATTTTGTAAATAGTTCGAAATTAGCTTATCTTTGATCACCGTTTGTTTGTGCGTTTTTTTCCCATAGTTTGCAAGATGTACCAAGTGAAGCTCGGTCATTTGGTACTCCACCAGGAGCTCCTGTTCGTTCTGTTGGGCGATTCGCTGACACTCTTTGAACACAACGCGAAAATTATAAGGAAACGTCTCTAGAAACTTTTTGCACTCCTGTTGACTTTGTAACTCGAGACGAAGTTTAGTCCGCATCCAGAATCTTTCATATGGGTTGTAGTGATTTGGATATTCTTCTCGAGACGCATCAAGACTATTCCGGATTGCATCGAAGTCCAAATCTGGACGATATTTCGGGTTGTTTTTGCTCAACACGTGCATATTTCGCAAGAAAGACGCTTCATTGGCCGCATAGAAGTTATCCTTGTAGCGTTCGCAGTCGTTTTTTTCCTCTAGTTGGTGATTTTCACGTTCAGATCGACAATCAAAGGAAAGTTTTACTGTCACTAGCCTTCTTTTTTCCTTTAATTCGTGCCTTCTTTTCTGATCGTTGCAAACAAGTTTTTCGAAAACCCAATCATCGTTGGCACCTCCATGTACAACCACAAGTTGGTCGTTCAAAATTTCTAGAAACCGACTAGGTTTTAAAATGTGGTTCAAACTGTCACTACTGAAGTCTTTTGACAAAATTTCCATATATTTCGACTTTGGTAGTAGTTTTACGAAATCGAAAAACGGCGTAAAGGTGACCGGAAGTTCCAAAGTATCAGGTTCGTCTAGTTCACTTTTCAGCTTTGATAAAAGCTGCTTGTAGTTGTCTTTATTTGCGTTAATTTTGACCTCAGCTGGGTATTCTTTCTTACCAAGAACCCCAAGAGCTAAATTTATTTTTGGTTCACAACTTTTGTTAAAATTGGTCGGAAAATGTTCTTCCGTCATAACCCAGTCTCTGTACTCTATATGCTTTAACCACTCTACTACATTGAACATTTTCGGCTTAATTAAATCGCTTCTGTTCAAAATATCCGCATAAGTCCCTAAATGAATTTCCGTTACATCATCAAGCCCAAATAACAGTTTAACAACAAAAAGAATTATACTCAAAACGCGGCCTTCGTAATTTGGGACTTTATTCACTCGTTTGCGAAATGACATTCTAACATCAGCTCTAGTTAGAAGATTTTTAACACAAGTGCAAATTTCCCGGGGTAAATTCAACTCTTTACAGTATCTCTCGCTAAGTTCTACTAAATCAGGACACACTACATAATAATCGACTTCCAAAAAAACCGACATTTCTGACGTAATAACCCGGAATGGTGTATTTGCAAAAACGCTATTTTTTTTAAAGTTACGAAAATTCAGACGTTTGTCGGCAAAATTTTCAGGAAAAAAATGACTGTAACAGTTGAAACTCAACTTCCCTTCTTTGATGAATCTCAAAAGATCACCAAGCTGAATTTTGTCTTTGCCAATAAGTAGAGCTAAATATAGAATTGAGTAGAGTTTATTTAGAGAGAGAATGTAGGGGCTCTGGCGGTATCTATGTGAAATCCTCCTATAACTAACTCTGTGGCACTTCAAGTTCCTTTCAAAATCTACAATGTGTTTACGCCAGTGATACCGCGTCCTTTGTATACGTTTCAGCTCTCTCGAGGCGTAAATATTATACGCCAGCGGCTTACTTTTTGAGCTTTTTTCAGAACTTTGGAGACTCGCCAAAGTTTCGTTGTGTAACGACGGGGTACCTTGACTTTTCTGACTTAAATCTTCATACTGAGCTTTAATTAAAGCCCGCTTTCTCCGAATTCTTTCTTGCTTCAGTGACGACGAGTCCAAAGTTGTTAGATCCACTTCACTCGACGATGACTGCCGCCGTTTTCGTTTCCTTTTTGCCAGTTTTCCATACACGATTTCGGCGTCTCTACAAACAAAAATGAGTAGGTGCAACCCCAGAATGAACACTTACATTGCGTTAGACACTGCTTGCAATTTAGGCAGCTGATTTTGCCCTAGTGTGAACACTTTCACCTTCTCCAAGTAACGCAACCAGAGAATTCTAACCACTGATTTAAATTTTCTATTAGCTCCCAAATTTATTAACTCCTCGGTTAACCCTAGAAGAATGTGATTATAGCACTCCCAACTGGTTATTTTGTTGTCGACTTTTTCGCTCTTCTCGCTTTGTACTTTCCGAGTTTTTGTTTTGGTTTCGGCGGTAAAGTCATCAAAAACGTACTCTTGGACTTCTTGTGACTGAACTTGGCACCCTTTGCAGAAGAAAAAACCGGCTTCTTTGTAAAAATCGGTGCCGCCGCAGTGTTCACACTCTATATTGTCCATTGTAAGAATTAAGGATTATTTGAGGTTATGTAGTGCGTACACACGTTTCATACAATCAATGAAACTGAGAGTACTTGGTTTACATAATCAGTCTCATTAGCACAAGTATGGCAAAACACTTTGTAAATAAACACATTAAATAAAGAATTTGTTGACGAAAACAAACGTCATTTAAATTTGAGGTTATGTTTAGATTCGTATAACCTCACTTTTTATGTTTTGAGTAAATTCCGAATTTCCGACTAAACTTGACTGAAAATGCTAAAAGTGAGTGACTACGATGATAGTTTTGACGAAGAAGACGACGATAGTGGCATTCTGAAGCAGGCTCTTCATGTAGAATTCCCCGACGATTTTAACCCCGACAAGGTGCCCCAAACAGGTATAAAAATTACAATTTGGTAACTTTTATCCGACTTTCACACTTTTCAGGTGAAGAATATCTGCAACATGTTATCTACGAACGAAAAAAGTACAAACAATGGGTTACTGTTGACATCGACCGCAGCAAATTTAAAAACCAACAAACCCTCAAAGTAGAAGTGGTAAAATGGCCGGCTTTGTTTAAACACGTCTGATTGTAGTTTTCAGGGAAATTCGATCAAAAAAGCGCCTTCCATGCTCATACCCACGAGGGAGTGGCAAATGGCCAAAGTAGAAGACTTCACGAATTTTCGAAAATTCATCCACTTTAAAATAACCAAAGAACTGACAGTTAATTCTTTTAATGAAGAGTCGTTTATAGAGAAGACGCAGACCGAGTATCCCGTTTTTTCTGAAGTCACTGTGTACACTCAAGCGGCCAAAATGAGGATGCTGTATTTAATTTCAAGACATTTGGAAACGGTTCCAGTGGGGGCGAGTATTGGAGAGAAAATGGGGGCTTGGATTTATGCGATTTTAACTCTGCTGGAGAAGCCTTTGAGCCCCGATTTTTGTTACAGTTTGCGTGAGTTCGCCAAGAAGTGTTTGGTGATACGGTCAAACCTGGATGAAGAGGCCAGTGAAGAGTTGTATAATCCTCTGAATTTGTTCATATGCATTGTGGGTAGGTTTTACAACCAACTGGACTTGGCAGATTCTTAATTATTACAAATTAAGTATAAATGCAAGGTTGCCATTCACCATAGGCGGGGATAAAATTTGAACCAAAAGGGTCACTTTAATAAAATATGTATTGTGTGAAATGTACAGTATGAAAAAAAACATATGAATAAATTCGACAATTTAAATACCAATAACATTGCACAAAAACGATTTTTGTGGATATAATCCTGACGTTATGATTTTTTTTTATGAAATGATATATTTTTTTGTTCTAATATATTCATAATAATTTTATTTTTCAAAGCTTATCATATTTAGAAAACTAATTATTGGAAATAAGGGTACTAGGTGTAAGTTTAGTATTTCAAAAAATGTAATAATATTAGTGCTACTAGATATATTGATAGAATTAATTAGGTATATGAAGGGTTGGATAAGTGCCAATTTGAGTTCAGTGGTGCCGCCACCACTCATGTTGTGAACCCATGGGCGTAGTTAGTAACCCACGTTTAAAAAACGTGCCACTAGGCGGCGCTGCGTTCGTAGATGCAACACGTAATTCCCACATGAAAATAACGTGTGGCCGAGAACGTAACTAGAGTGGAAGACAATTTTGATAATTGCGCTCGCATTCCTCGGCTTCGGGTAATATCGACTTTTCGGCCCCGTGTAAATAAACCTAACCTCTCCATTATAAAACACACTTTGGCCAGTTCGGCGGATGGAGATTAGTGCGGGATCGATGCACGATTGGTTGATAGTTGACATTTGAATGTCGCGTATTAGTGAATAGCAGCCTGCGTGTGCGAGACAGAGAATGCATCCGTCAGACGTCGCTATTGCATCTTACCAATTGTTATGATTAACCTGTTGATATCGGGTCATTTGAGTGCGGCGAATAAATAAATAAAAATAAGAAGGAACTGGGGCGCGGAATGCGGCCTGAGACCCCACACGGCTAGTGACCAGAGGAGGAGCGACTTTTTATCAAAATTGTAAGTTTTTTTAATTTAAGTATGAGCGTGTATTTTTTTTTTCGGTTTTGATGTGTGCGGAGTAAACAGGTTGCTGCCACCCCTTCCAAGAAAATCATGTTTCTAGGTTGGGTGTTTTTGTTTAATCGATAATTAGCCGGTGCTAATTAAATTGAGTTCTTAGGCAGCACTGCTACGTTTTTCGTTTGTTTAATCTACTCATTTTCTGGGTTTTCATAATCGTTTTCACTCGGAGTTCTCGATTTTATTATTTACCCAAGGATTCGGAATTGTTCAAAGTAATTTCGTTTAAGCTTGTTTGTAGAGCTCTTTTCTGAAATGTCTTTTTTGACCCCCTGAAATAAAAGCACGAACAACAGTGGTTTATTAATTTATTGCTTAATTGCGTTTGCGGAAATAAGCAAACAAATTTATAAAATAAACGAAAAGTAACACCTTGAGGCGTTTTCTGTTGATTGTCTTCTTTGAAGTGATTTTAACAGTGATTAAATGTAATATTTTTATTGCGTGTTTTTTCTCACGTATTTTTCTTAAATTTTGTTCTATTTGTTGTTTAACGTTTGCGAACTTGTTAGAGGTGCGACTTGTTTAAATTTGTTGCAGTTATTTGAGGAATTGCGATTCCATGAATTTTATGACGCAATGACAATATTATGCAGATATTTAAAAATTTCCTTTGTTAATAATTTCGGTACACCACCAGAAGTTTTGCGCAAATAAATCTCTTTACGATTTTGTTTTGTTCTCTTTTTAAATTGACTTTCGTACTTTCGAGAACCCAATTAACGAAGTGAAAGTTGCTGATTCTAAAGTAACATTAAAGATTAATAAAACTCGGTTTTTAGGAAATAATTTTTGAAATTTAAGTATGAATTATTTTCGTCGTTAAAGACGTGTTGGGGATATATTATTCATTTTTTAATTATTACGCGGCCGAGTTTTGACAGTACATTAAATCATTTGGAGTGGGGAGGGTTGTTACGAAAATCGATAAAACCCACAAGAATTTGTAATTTTCAAAGTTTAGTTTGCCCTCTCGACGTAAATTGCGATATAGATCTTATCGGATTTCCTAATAATAAATGTATCTAATATAAAATGGTCTTATCGGGTCTCGAAACAGTTTTCCAAGGAAAATTACAGTATTACTTTTAGTGAATTTTCGGGAAATTGACTACAGAGAGCCATCTTTTATAAAAAAAAGATGGCGTTTACAGAATTTCGGTATTATCCATTCTCATGATAAAATATTAATAAGGCCGCGACTTATCTGGAACATCCTCTACATGATTTCAGGTTTCCGAAATATTTTTCACAGTAGCATACGAAAATGTAAGTTTCTCGTTTTCGCTTGTCTGTTGTTTGTTTGGACATTTTTTGACTCTTAGATGTACAACCTATTTTCTTGAAAATTGAAATATCACAGTTTTTGGATTAAACAAAAAAGAATTTCAAACCGAACGTTTCTAAAATCTTGCCCGCTGTTATATTTTTGGAATCAGCACGTTGAAATTTATATTCCAGAATTTTTTGTGGATTTTTGGCATCACTTTCAAAATAACAGTTTTTCAATATTTATGAAAACTTTGGAAATTACGACCACCCTCGAAACATAACTAAAGATATTTTCTTATAGATTTCGACCTATAGAAGTTGCTTTTGACCACATTTCTTCGACAACTCATTTCATTTTCCCAGAATCGATCATTGAGATATGACAATTTTTTGGATTAAAAAATTGAATTTCGAACCGAATATTTCTAAAACCTTGACCCAGGACCATGAAGACGCTATATTTTTGGAATCAGCACGTAAAAATCTATATCCTTGCATTTTTTGTGATTTTTTAGGCAACATTTTCAAAATAAAAATTTTTTAATAGTTAATGAAAATTTTGAAAGTTTTCGATCATCTTCAGTTAAGTCTCGAAGAGATGGGCGAAAAATTTATTTTTTTGTAGATGATTTCGATTTACAAAAGTTATTTTCGGCTTCGTTTCTTTGATAACTCGTACCATTTATCTAGAATTGCCCATTGAAACATTAGTTTTTTGATTTTTTAAAAAATTAAATTTCAAACCGAATATTTTTAAAATCTTGTCTCCGGATTATAAACGTGCTATATTTTTGGAATGAGCATTTCGAAGTCTACGTCCCAGAATCTTTTGTGGATTGTTACGTAACTTTTTCAAAACCAAAATTTTTCAATGAAAATTGCGAAATTTTTCGACGACTTTCGAAACTCCCCTAAAGACATTTTCTTGTTAATTTCGGCAGTGGAACTTGTTTTCGGCCCCCTCTCGTTGATAACTCGTACCATTTTTCCAGAATTACCCACTGAAATACGACGGTTCTTTAATTAAAAAGAAAAAAATGAATTTTATACCGAATATTTGTAAAACTATGTTCCAGAAGCATAAATGTACTACGTTTTTGGAATAAGTACGTCGAAAGTTGTATCTTGGATTTTTTTGTAGATTTTTAGGGAATATTAAAAAAAAATTTCAATGCTTAGGAAAATTTGGGAATTTTTCAACCATGTTCGAAACTTAACTGAAGACAATTTCGTATTCATTTGGACCTCCAGAAGTTACTTTCAGCACCATTTCTTCTATAACTCACCATTTTTCCAGAAGCGTTCATTGAAATATCGGTTTTTTGGAATAAGCAATTGAATTTCAAATTGACTACTTCTAAAACCTTCGCCCGGATCTATAAACACGTTATATTTTTGGAATCAGCACGTCGAAATCTACATCCCAGAATTTTTTCGTAAATTTTTGGCATGATTTCCAAAATAACAATTTTTCACCACTTTGAAAATTTTGGAAGTTTTCGACCGCCTTCGAAACTTTACTAAAGATATTTTCCTGTAGATTTCGACCCACAGAAGGTACTTTCGACCTCATTTCTTCGACAACATTTCTAAAACATTGGTCCGGGACTATAAACACTCTATATTTTGGGAATCAGCACATCAAAATGTGTAATCTAAATTTTTTGTGGATTTTTAGGCAACATTTTCAAAAGAAAAACTAAATTCTTAATGAAAATTTCGGAATCTTTCAACCATCTTCGAAACTTCGCATCTCTAGTTAAGTTTCGAAGAGGTGGTCGAACATTTTTTTTTTTTGTAGATTTCAATCTGCAGAAGTTAGTTTCGGCCTTATTTTTTCGATAACTCCCACCATTTTTCCAGAATCGCCCATTGAAATATGAGTTTTTTTTTTATTTTTAAAAAAATTAAATTTCATACCGAATATTTTTAAAATCTTATTTCAAGATCATAAACGTACTATATTTTTGGAATCAATACAACGAAATCTACGTCCCAAAATGTTTTGTGGATTTTTACGTAACTTTTTCAAAACCAAAATTTTTCAATGAAAATTGCTAAATTTTTCGACGACCTTCGAAATTTCACTAAGCACATTTTCTTGTTAATTTCGATCTCTAGAAGTTGTTTTCGGTCTCATTTCGTTGATAGCTCGTCCTATTTTTCCAGAATTATCCATTGAAATATGATGGCTTTTTGAATTAAAAAAAAACATGAATTTCATACCGAATATTTGTAAAACTATGCCCCAGAAGCATAAATATACTATATTTTTGGAATCTGTGTATTTTTTGGTGATTTTTAGGCAACATTAAAATAAAATGTTTCAATACTTACGAAATTTTGGGATTTTTTGACCATCTTCGAAACTGAACTGAAGAGATTTTATAGATTTTGACCTCCAGAAGTTACTTTCGGCCTCATTTCTTCCCCCGTTAGTCATTAATTTTAACTCCTACCATTTTTCCAGAATGGAATTAAATTTTTTTCGATTCCTTAAAAAATTGAATTTCAAACCCAAGTTTTCCAAAATTTTATCACATTTCCAGAAACGCGCTATATTTTTGGAATCAGCACGTCGAAATCGATGTCTCAGAACTTTTTATGGATTTTTGGGGAACTTTTTCAAAAGCAAAAATTTTCAATTTAAGAATGTGGAATATTCCGACCATCTTCGAAGTTAATAAAAACATTTTCGCTATATTTTTGGAATCATCGAAATCTATATCCCAGATTTTTTTGTGGGTTTTTAGGCAACTTGTTCAAAACCAAAATTTTTCAACACCTGCCCTTAATGAAAATTTCGGAATTGTTCGACCATCTTCGAAACTTAACTATATATATTTTCTTATAGATTTCGATATATAGAAGTTGGTTTCAGCCTCATTTCTTCGATAACTCCGACCATTTCTCCAGAATGAAATTGAAATATATCACTGTTTTTGGATTTCTTAAAAAGTTATAAGTACGCTATATTTTTGGAATCAACACGTCGAGGTCTACGTTCCAGAATTTTGTGTGGATTTTTACTTAACCGTTTCAAAATCAAAATTTTTCAATGAAAATTGCGAAATTTTTCGACGATCTTCAAAACTTCACTAAAAACATTTTCTTGTTAATTTCAATCTCTAGAAGTTGTTTTCGGCCGCATTTCGTTGATAACTCGTACCATTTTATTAGAATCGCCCATTGAAATATGACCGTTTTTTGAATTAAAAAGAAAAAATGAATTTCATACCGAATATTTGTAATACTTTGCCCCAGAAGCATAAATACGCTATATTTTTGGAATCAGCACATGCAAATCAATATCCCAATATTTGTTCTTCAAAACGAAAATTTTTCAATACCTCCCGTTAATGAAAATTTCGTAATTTTTGACAGTTTTTTTGGATTTCTTAACATATTTGTAAAATCTTGCCTCGGGGCCATAAATACGCTAGATTTTTGAAATTAGCATGTCGAAATTGACGATCCAAAACTTTTTGTGGATTTTTGGGTAACTTTTTCAAAACAAAAATTTTTCAACTTAACTATCGTCGAAGCTAACTAAAAACATTTTCTTGTAGATTTGGCTCTCCAGAAGTTTCTTTCGGCCTCATTTCTTCGATAATTCCTTCTGCTTTTCCAGAATTGCCCATTGAAATACTTATTACAGGTTTTTG